AAACGAAATTAATTGACTAATTCAACAAATTAAACAAATAAATAAGTAAAATTAAACAAATAAATAAGTAAACAAACAAGTAAACAAATGTAAATGTAAAAATAGATATAAATATAAATATAAACATAAATATAAACATAAATATAAATATAAATATAAATATAAATATAAATATAAATATAAATATAAATATAAATATAAATATAAATATAAACATAAATACAAATATAAATATAAATATAAATATAAGTATAAATATAAACATAAATATTGATATAAATATGAATATAGATATAAATATTATTATATACATATATATATATATATAGAGAGAGAGAGAGAGAAGAGAGAGAAGAGAAGAGAGAGAGAGAAGGAGAGTGCTATAGGACATAGTCAGCATTTTTTGCTTGTCCATTTTCTAAGACAGCCTTCTGAAATAATTTCTCTATTCCCCAGTGCGGAATATCTTCTGATAACATGAATTCGGTTATCCATTCCTTTATTTCAGAAATGACATGACTATGCGACCCACACTTACAGTATCGGTCATCAAAACAATCACAAGAATTAATTCATTATTTTAGTATTCAGTAATTTGCAAATGTATTTCAAGTTAATAAAATCATTACTACAATGATTAGTGAGTTTATTTACAAAACAATTGTGAATCCCATAATTAATTAGTACTAATAATTTTACTCAATTAATCTTCAAAATTGAGTGATTTGATTTTCTCAAATCTATAAGTTTTCATTCTTTCCAATAAAGTTAATATGCTACAAAATCAAAATGAGGGAATTATTTGTTCAAATTTTTAGCTCAAAGTGATAAAATATATGTTAAAAACAATTTGAATCTGTAAATTTTTTCGAGTGATTATCTTTCAATTTCGAAATTATTCCTGTTTTTCCGCAACGAAAATTTTTTTTTCTCTGCGAGTTCATTTATAGAAATTAATGAAACTAATTTAATCATCCAAATTAAAACCAGCAAAATTTTTCAAATTTAAAGTACAAAACTAACGGCTGTCGAGTATTTTCTATTGAATTGATTTGTGGGATTTGAATTTCAAAATTCATAACTAGTGCTAAATAGATTTATCATTAATTAGACAGTTGTACTGGTTTTAATATCCATCGAATTTAGAATAAATAATTTTTGTGGATGCCAAATGAAGCTGAAAAATGGTGATAAAATAAAAAGAGCAAAGAAAGATGAAGCCAGAACATATGAAAATGCTCATAAATGTTGAGATGCTCATAAATACATCGCTAACAAATCATTCTAATATATTCACAATGTATTACAACGAATTATTCATCATATCTTCGCAATTCTATCATTTTAGTTGAACTGAGCAATTTTAAAGTATGACACGTTTTCACGAAGTATGATGACCTGTCACCAAGTTGAGTCTCCTAGTGAAACAAACACTTCCTGTCACGGTGTACTTATTATTACAGGACAAATGTAAACATAAATAAAACTTATAATGAAGAAAAAAAATGAAATAACGGTAATTATATGCATACATTCTGCATATCGTTTAATGCAATTTTTGAAATTTTGTTTGAAATAGGGCAAAAATGACAAATGCATTCATTTTTCATATATCAGACAAGATTAGTGAAAGGGTGAGAATAGAGAGTTGACATTTAAACTTTATAGGTTTATTTTGAATTTTAGCAACTTATTGAAGTATTAGGAGCGAAGCGGAAAATGCTGATAATAATCTTTTTGGGTACTTACTGGTCCATCAAAGGAGCATTTTTATGCTTAACAATTGCTCATCTCTTTGATGAGAAGTAAATTTAACATATTGTAGCAGAGGGCCAATTTAATGATGCAATGGACTTTCTCCATCCAAATATCCTACTAATTTGCATCCATCAATCAAACATTCAAAATAATTTCAATAATTTATAGCAAAATAATGGAATCATATTTGGATGAAAAGGCGATTAAACAAATTTCAGTTGAAAAAATAATTTCCCTCTTGGAATTTTTAAATTTGAAATGAAAACTCTCTTTTATCCATTATCCATACACACTTAATAAGATGTTCATTTTCTCAGAAATTTCTGTTAAAAACGTATATTTTTAAGCTGATAAATATTTGATGAGCAATTTTATTTCGTACTTTTAAATATCATTTTAGTTATCGAATAACTCTTTAAGCATCTGATAATCAAAACAAATTTTCCAAACTAAAAAAAAGTAAACATTTTAAGTTGCCAAATATCGATCTTGATATCTTTAGAGAATAACAGTTATCTGAAAATTGATTAAAATATTGAAATTATATGACCCAGTTGTTTAGCTTAACAGTAAGCAGAAAGATGACAGTACCACAACTATGTGGTGACTGTAATCAAATCACCCTATTTCTTTCCCGTTTTCTAATTAAAATAGATACGTACTGTTTTCCTGCTTACTAAACGAGCTGATAATTGACCCATGGAATTTACCTTAACAGCTAGTAAATTTTTGCCTTTAAAAATCCTTTGAAATTATTTCATATAAGGCACTTGCCAGACATCACATGTTCTATTAGAAAGCGTACTGATGAGATGTTGGTTGAATTTGAACCAGTCATTTCCTTTCAAAATTTCGTCCTTTCTTCTAATTAACCTCTTCCACCCTCTATTTATTCTTAAAAAATCTTAAGGATGTGACACAGATAAAATGTCTTAAAGATAAAAAATGTGACACAGATTCCAAGTTGTATTATGATAGATCTGAACTTATCAAGATTTAGTAAGAATAATATGATAATAATGGCTATTTCATTCTGTGGGGATATTAATTATCATAAATGAAATGTAATTTCTCTAAAATCAGTTCCTCCATAATGTTTATTTGGAAATATTTGTTAATGTTGAATAAGCTGTAAGAGGCTTGAGAGTTAATGATAAAACTAAACTTATTTAATGTGCCAGCTTATTTCTATCCTAATTAACATCCAATAGGTAATAATGTATGAATCATAACTTTACAATAATTTCTTTCAGTTTGAAGACAAGAAAAATGCTTGTGTGTGGGTAAGTTAATTAAGCACAAAAAGATGCAGTAATAAGTATAGAAAAGAAAAAAAATTAATAAAAGTCTTCGTCGCTTCTATTTTTAGAAGAAAATATCTAAGGGACTAAGCTTTGGTGCTTATTCAACCATTTGTAGTTAGTTCCAAAGGAATGAATCATTTTGAATTAATTATTCATCAAAAACAAATTCGAGAAAAATATAATGGAAATAAAAAGAAATGCAGAAGTTAGCCAGCAGATTGCATGAGAGATTCTCTTTGAAATACTTCTATGAAAAGACTTAATATGCAAATAATTTCTTTTTATCGTACGGTATCTCTGATATGCTTTTTTCTCAATTCTTTCAGAAATTTAATTTATCATCGTACTTCATCAAATCATTTAAGCAAATTTTTTAGAAGATGTTGAACCTTACAATGACGTAGTAACTTTTCTTTTCTTCATGAATCAAATTACTTAAATTCAAATTGCTTAAATCCACTTAAACTCACAATTATCAAATCAATACGGTTGCATGGTCTGTTTCAACCATGCATTTGTTATAATGTCGCGCTATATGATCATAAACTGATGGTTCTTGAATATGCATGTTTATATTTTGTAGATTACTAAAAGTTAAGTTAATTCTGGAAAGATTCATTCTCCATTACATCAAACAATCATATTTAAATTTATATTCATTTTTTCAAGTTATCGCAATTTCGCACAATGTGTTCTTTTCCAGAATCCTCAATGAAAACGGTAATAAATGCAATTTTATATATGAAAATTTTTCTGAAATATCAAATAAATCATGCTTCATTTACTACTATCAGTTCGATTTTTTTGAGGTCAAATATTTGGGAGTAACCTTTATACTCAATTTTAGCTTACTGCTGGCAATGAATATAGCTTATGAATCTCATTTTTCTGACTTCTGGTCTGAAGTAAATTTTAAAGAGGACATTTATGACACGAGATTAATTGAACTTAAAAGCTAAATAGGATAATTAATTCAGATGTCCAATTTTTCCAATTAGTTATGAAAGACGTTTTGTGTCATCTATGAAATAAGCAAACGAAAAAAAAGAAAACTTAAAAGATGGCTAGTAAAAAATATCCGATCGTTGACATGATATGTGATTGCATGAGTTCTTTCGATTCACTCTCTGTGAGTAAATTGCTGAAATTGAAAAATATTTAAGATTTATGACATTTTTCGAGATTTATGGAGAATTTTTGGTCACATGGTTGCTACTTAAAGTGTAATTGGAACGAATGTCGAACCCTTTTATTATTTCTGAAATAACTTTATGACAAATACAGTATCGAATAATTGTAGACATATGTCATATGTCACCGCATTCCAATTTATTGACTACAGAGAGTTGTGAATTAAAGCACAGCAGTCGAAAAAAAAAATGTCAAATCATGCTAACCCATCGTTCATAAGTCATTTAAATTCGGGGAATTCGAAGATTTATGTCAGGTACAGAAACCAAGAACTGATGATTTGAAATTCATTCTGTAAGTTTTGCTTGATTTCACGGATTTCATTCAAAGAGACAACGAAAATCCCAAATTCAGGCTTTAGCAGTAGTAAATTCAATCTAAGGTTTGATAATTTGAATAAGCTTAAGGCTTTGTCAGCAGGATTGAAAGATTTTGAAGTTTAAAGGCATTTTGAAGTTGTATTTTGAAGTCCTTTTTTTTCTATTTCGAAGTTTAAAGGTAGAGCAGAAAACTGGTTTTTGTTAGATTTCTCAAATCGAAATTCAAAACTTTTCCTGCTGTGATCTTGGATTCAAAGTGATCCACTCAATGAACAAATTCCCATCTTCAATATAATCAAGAAGCTAAAATCATACAAATAGAACTGAAAGTTTTTGGTAACTTACTGAAATAAATATTATTCCAAAGACATTGTCGTTCACTGTAAAATAAAAAATAAACTATTTTTAGCGCATATTGAAGAGGGAAATTCAAGAAATCAACATTCAAATGTACGATGACTGCAACAGTGTGACAATTAATTATTAGCCCATATGTGAAATGTGAAATTTAATTTACAATTAATTATTTATTAAAGGTTAGGGACTATATGTTACCTTTTCTCGGACATTTATCTCGTATATCGAATTTGCCAAATGAATAACCTATTTGACAGAGCATCCATTTATTCGACAAGCAATCCTCGTATAATTGATAAATCATTTATTTTTCTTTCATCATATCGAAATGAGCGTTGGATAGTGCAATACATGTGGACCAGCCAAAGAGTATCACTAATCAAACGATCAACACGATCAAGTTTGTTCGCAACTGGTCAGTTTATCAGCAATTTGAACTGGATGGTCATCATTATTAACCAACACCTAGCTAGCTATAGTATTGCATAACTAGTGCTACTTGGACATTATATTTCTAAAAATTAAAACAAATTTTGCATAAGGATTGGCAACTAATTATACTATTCTTGTAAAAGTAATTAATTATGCATGTTATCAATGTTACTTTGGTAAAGACAAATTAAAGAGATATACAAATACAGATTTCACATCCTTTTCAATGTCTTTTTCCCTACATCCACCTGCTTACAATGCTCGAATAAATACTTTTAATGCTACTCAAAGATCTAAAATAAGCCGCAATGTTTTATAAAGAAAAGCCGAAAAGAGAGGCAAAAAAAAAAAATCAGAAACAGTGACAGTGTTCGGCTTTTATTTGACCTTTGATGAAAGTGAAAGAGACGGAAGCAAATCTGTTCGTTTAAATACCTCTCCCTCATTCCATCTCAGTGACTGCGATATTCGCTTCGCTTTTCATTTTTGCGACATATCGTCCTTTGTCATTTGATTCAAATAAATAATGCAAGTGTAAGCATATTACACTTCCACTGTGATACTTTGATCTTAATCCATCTCATAATTAAGGCAGGAGATTGTTTGATTGTTTTTAAAGGATGAAAAACAAAAAGAGGCAAAATAAACATGAAGAAATTATTTTACCTAATACAACTATTACTTCGCCTGAAAATGCGTCATCAAACAGGTTGGTTTTGAAGTGATATAGCAATTCTCAACAATTAAGAAGTGTAGAAATCTTCATTTATCATTAAGGGTTCTTTCATGTTTGACAAAATCATCCTGTGGATTCGAACTTGGACTTTATTTCTGTCTTCTATCACAGTTTCATCTATTTTGTCCTTTTCATTCCTTTCACTTTCTTCTTTCTAACTTTTAAGATTCTGTCAATTTACAACAAGCAGTTCTATGACGAGTTCATTGTTCACAATAAGTGGAACAGGAGAATTTTTTGGAATTTCGAAGATTCAGAATCTTTTTTTTCTTTGCTATCATCGAAATCCATCATTTTTTGTCTGATTGATGAATTTTCAGAAAAGTAAAAATTTTATTTTATATTTGAGATCTTTCACAGATAACTTTTCTCTTATCAATAAAATCATCCATACGTATAAATTCACTGTTCAGATTTCTTTTCCTGTCTTATAGCTTTATTGCTGCATTTCAGTGCTTTACAGTTGATTATATTCATCTTCACAAGAGCAACAATTTTCATAAATTTTGAAAATTACTACCCTTCTCTTTCTTCACAAACTGATATAACAATACTGATAAATGATGATGATGATGATGATGATGATGATGATGATGGATGATGATGATGATGATGATGATGATGATGATGATGAGCAGACAAATAGAAAGAAAATTTTTAAAATAGATAGGAAGAAGAATACAACATCCTGTAAAGTTTTTTTTTTTTGTCCTTCTTATAGATAGAAAGAGACGCATTCAACAATTTAACTAATGGAATTCCAATAAGAATTTGTCTCGCAATAATGAGTGAGTAGTAGTAGTAGTAGTAGTAGTGGGAGAACAGATTCTCATATGGAAAAAGCAATTCACTCATTTCCATCTTATCATGAATCATTAATTTTCATCATTGCTTCTTTTTTTTTTTTGAAATTACTGGAAATAACACAAAAGGAAAAAGTATTTTGGGAGCATTTTTAGCAATAAAAGTAATGGCTCATTACTAAATGAAACGAATTATCTAAGCAAATTTTATCGAAAAAATATTTGAAGAAGGGGACAAGGAGAAGGATAGTTAGTATTTTCAAATTTATAATTTTATTTTTAAATTTTATCATCTGAAAGGATTTTGTATTGTCAGAAATGAGTTCAACCTATCCTTTCTTTGAGAAAGCTCTCTCATGAATCCAATGTTGATATCATTTCAGTGGTTTACTTAGTCAAATGACTTTTTTTTTTATCAAAAGAAATAGACAATGTAATCATCAAATGACAGCTGCCATTTGAATGGTAGCATTTCACCATTCATATTGGTGAAATCTATTTCATACCTTAGAACGCTTTCTGTTAGCTTTCTCGTTTACATAATTATTTGTGTATCGATTAGGAATTTTATCAAGTTTCCCTCAACAAATTTCATCCATAGCTTCACTATCTTTAATAGACATTCAGAATTGACATTCAGAATTCTTCACTTCAGTTATTTATTGTCGGTACAACTCATTTAGATTACCAGAATATGCAAATCTAATTAAATTATTCCGAATATGCTCTACCTCATAGCATCATTTTATCTTGTGTCCTGTCCAAGAATGTTTATCTATCCAACAGTAATGTGTTATCCGTGGGATCATTACGCTTCAACCTGGTTCTCAGGTATTTTACCGTCAGGCAATTTTCAATATGCCTTAATGAGATTTTATGTCAACTTTTATGTCCTTAAACATTGAATGGTTTGTAAGATACATTCGAGTTTGAATTTTCAGTAAAACTGTTTGTCGCATCGTCTCAAATATCTGTTGTAAAGTTGACATGTATATGTAACAGTACGTAATATGTAAGCCATAGATGGATGTTCAGAGAGAATGGTCAAACAAGACTGATCGGACTTCCTGCATATGAACCTGCAACTGCGTTAAAAGTGAACGTTGCAAAGAAGGATAAAAATGATGAAACAAGAAAGAAGTAAGAAGGAAGAAGTGATTTACATGAAGAAAACTGAGCCGCTATTAACAAAAGTTGATGACAAACAGAGAGACATGCATTTATAAAGTGCAAACAGTGCATGCATATATTGAAACAAGTACGTAAACAAGCAAATAAATAAACAAGTGGTTGAGTAAACAATAAATAACAACGAATGATAGGAAACTGCAAAAGAGTAGAAAATGATTACTAAAAGGGGCAACTACTCTTCTCCAATTGTCACTCTAAGAACCGTGACCCCGATGGAGGACCGGTCAACCTTCCTTATCTCTTCCTTTATCTTCATTCCTCCCTCTCTCTCTCTCTCTCTCTCTCCTTTCCCCCCTCTCTCTATGAGCCGAGTGATACAGCACAGCGTTGGCTTTCCGTTCCTATTTACTTCTTCACCTTTTCTGGTAGCGAGAGAGTTGTCTTACACTCTTTGAGATGCATCATTATTTCTCAATACATATAGCTTGCATGCATGCATGTCTTTGTATATATGCATAACCTGCATGTGTGATATGTATTAAGCTATTTATGCATATTTACTCTATGAATGGGTGAATCGGCGTAATTTTATGTCAAGATCGGAAAGATCGCAGTGCACGCCACATTGTTGCATTCCTGAGAACATTTCTGAGTGCTGTACTTGTGATTCAAAAGTCTAGCTAACTTCATCAATAGATATCTACCGGGAAATACATACCTCACTTACATTTCCCTTTTTAACTCAGGGCTTCATTTCGTCTTTCACATTGCAGTTGAGATGGGTGCAATCATATTTACAGATTTCTCCATTGCGCTTAATGCTCCATCCCTTTCGCTCCATTATCAGTCATCTATTTCAATATACTTTGATTAATGGGATGAAGCAGTTGGCAGAGGTTGACCTTTGTCCTTACTGTTCTCTTCAGTCATTGACTGGTTCTAACGTTATTCCAACTGGAAGTATCAAATTTGGTGTCGAAACAAGTTGAAGGAATCTTAATTAATAGCAGACAGTATGCTGAAATTCGTCCTGAAATTCTGTTTTTTGTTTTGCATGCTGTCTCAATTTGCTTATGCAACTGGACTGTATGGCTTAGTCTACCCAGGGAGAAATCCTTGATGGTATCGCGAAAGTTTTGTTTTAGAAATGGAAGAAAGAAACATTCCGGAAGGAAATTTCATTTAATTCCGGCATAAATTCATCATCTTTCATAGTCGATGAATTAATTTTTGAGTAGTAGAAACGATTTATTTGTTAAATGTCATCATCTTCAGCAGGAGAAATAACCTTCTTTCTTCACCGAAAACTCGTGTCCCATTCATTTGGCGTCTAATAGGCGGCACCTTCCTTTGATGTTTTCATCTGGTGAGGTTAGGAGGGAAGGCGTATTTGTATTTATTTCGTTCAATTTCCTTTCTTCTCTGATTTTTCCCATATCTAATAAAACATTTTTTTTTTTGGAAAGAAATTACGGTCATGGAGACAATTTAGGCTTTCTTTGTTGAAGTCTGGATGATATCCGGAATGGCTAAATGGACATTTGAACTTCCATTGATGGATGATAAAATGGACCGACAATCAGTTCTCAGTATTTTGATCAACTTTCTTCGTCTATAATATGATTACTTGTTCACTCTTCCACTCCTTTCGAACAAATCGATTTTTGACATACGCAGCAAATGAAGGATGCAGCCTGATTTTAAATTATTCTTTAAAGCAATTTATATTTCACCTTTGGTTCCTTATTTCCAGACATTTCGACTTCCTCTCTTCTGTTCTATTTCACTGACTAAAAGTCTTTATGCATAATCGACACTTCTATGGTAATGCATGTCAAACTTTTCTTATACCTTTCATTGAAGTCATTAGTAAACCGTCTATGCATTTTCCGAAATATTCGTACTCGGAAAAACATCTTCACGTTTTTACGTACAGTTAGCTTTCAAATAATGAAGTAGCAGGGATTGTTTTGACTCCTGATAATATTCTTGAAAATCTAAATTCCCAGGTTTATTCTTGAATCTCTAGATATAACTTTGCTTATTATATCAGGCCTGAACATGAAACAGTCTTGTTGAATTACAGCTTACAGATATTCATGTTGCTTCAGCCGTTTGTTTGAAAAAATTTTTGTTTTAAAAATTTAAAAACTTTTTCTAATATATTGGAAGAAAATAATTGTGGAAAATTTTTCAGCACTATTAATGAATTTGAAAAAAGTCCTCAAATATGGTATTAATTTCTGTTTCACTTTTCATATCAAACATATGCGGATTGATCTATCCTTCATTTAGTTTCCGCCGTTTCATTAATACTTCAATGACGATATTTTTGCGGCAAGATCTAAAGACATTGTAGGCTTTTGCATAACCTTGACATCCACTTCCCTTTCTTTTGTATCCCCATCTTCCTCTGTACCTCACCTCTTTTCACTCCATCTGTAAATGCAGTCAAACTAGGCAATTGGTAGGACGATAGGAACTATATTACTAAATTTACGGTTATATTACTCTTTTTAATCTACCATGCCGTTCTAATGAATTTGCTTAAGAGGAAGAAGACATGACACTGTTCATAATTTTGTCCATTTTTGATATTCCTGTTTTTGGCAGGATGTCATTTGGTATGCGGAATGCTCTGACCTCTTTCTATTTGATCACAACAACTCTTACCCATTTCCTCCCTTTCCTTCATCTTCATTCCTAATTTTTGATGCTATTATACAGTGTTCTCTTATCGATTCAACACTTTTGCTATTATATTTTCAAGTTGAAATTTTAACAGTTATTGTTTCATTTCAAATTCTATAATAGTTATGTGGAAAATTAACTCCACTATTACTCAATCATTCATCTCTTCCAAACGGTTTAATGCAATGTATTATTGCGCCCTCTTCTACTCTTCATCTCTTTTGTTAGCAGGTGTTGGAGGTTTTGAAATTTTCAAAAGGGAGTAAAAGAGTTGTGTGAAATGTTAACATGTCACGATTTAGTATTTGGTATTCTGATTTGGTAAGGATTCATACTTACAGAATATGAGGGATTTAGATTGTAACAGATTTCGATGTTACCCAATGGAATTTTAGAGGCACAGGGGACATACTAATTACGCTGTGGATTCGGTTTAGAAAATTGAAATTGAGAAAGGAAGACTAACTGCGGTACTTCATATTTCATTGCTTTTATGGGTTTCTTCTCATGTTTTCATTTTTAACATGCTTCAAATGGGTATTCTTCAAAGCGGGAATGGTCTTTTCAATTAATGCGCTATGAATGAGGTGCGGCTTTTCTCTTTGAAAATTTTTTAGCGTTAAATTTGAAATTTCTAATTTAAAAAGAGCCGGTTTCTGATTCTGAGCTTATATGCGGCAATTGTTTCGCTCTGTAGCTCTAACATGAGATCATTTCATCTTGTTTTCAGAATAAATAAAAGATTGAAAGAAAAAAAGAAAAGCAAAAACGCGAAAAAAAAAAGAAGCAATGTTTAAAAACCTTTTTCGCCCACGACGGTCAAATAAAGAGAACGAAGATCAAGAAGAGCATCATCATCATCAACAACAACAACAACAACAACAACAACAACAACATTCTGCCAATGAATTTGTTGGTATTTTCAAATTCAAATTTAAATTTCTTCCTCTAATATTTGGAAACAATGAAAAGATTGAGATAAGACTAAGAAACAACTGTGGATTGAGTCGGCATAAACATAGAGTTCAAAGCAAATAGATCCAAAGTTCAAAATCCGATCATGTATCATCATTTATGTGATGGTCATGATAGTACTACGGATCGACATGTTTCGTGTGTTTTTCTCTTAGGTTATCAGTCTTTCAGTGAATTCGTTTTGATTTCTATTTCACTTATCATTGTCACATATTTTTTCTTCTCCTCATAAATATGATCTTATTACAGCAGCGCAACTCGTTCTCCCATAAGTCGCTAAGAAATGCGCGTGAAAAACGATCCTTCCATTCATCTTATCATCATTATCGAGGAAATACAAGTGGCGGAGTTGATGATGGTCTTCCTATATCTACATCACCATATCATGTTGCCATTCAGAGGAAATATCCACGCGGTACACAATCATGCTACGATGGTCTCCGTGATGACTTCGATCGATTTTCCACCATGAATAGGTCGTTTGCTAGTACGGCACATTCGAAATATAAGGTACTTTTTATGGATTTTGCTAATGTGATTTTCCTGACTTCAAGATCACTGGGATTTTTTATTTAACAGAGATTATCTCAAGATTATATCTTTCATTATATCTACCTGGAAATAATGCAGAAGTTCCAGAAACCTTACAAAGTTTCAAAGTGTTTGAAAATTTAGAAATCATTTGATAGTTTATGTATATGTATCACATATTTGTGAAAGTTGTTAGCGTTTTTCTAGAAATTAATAGGTGAACCAGACTCTGTGGAAATTCATCCTGACATTTAATCATCATTCATTTATTTCATTTTTTTTATTATTCACTTATTTCTTTGTTTATTTTGTCCTCTTTCAGCCTTCACGCCGTGAGTACATGAACATTATGCGCCGTAATCATTTGAATTCAGAATATGGCAGCTGTGATCCTTCATTGAACACCCCACCTCTCTATAGTAGAGACTTAGATGATTCAGATGCGGAGACATGGAATTCGGAAAGGATTATTAAGGTTGGCAACTTCAATTTGTTCGAACTTCTTTTACCTAATTATGGAATAAATAAAATACTCCTTAACTATGAACAGAATCATCCATCGTGGCAAGACTTATTTCTCATTAATTCTCATAAATTAAAGGAACTTCGAGCAGAATTAAGGGCTACAAATGAACGAAAGAATTATTATAAAGATTTATACAAACGTGAACGGCAAGATAGGATACGTGATCGTGAATTGCGTGATTTAGTGGAGAAGAAACTTATGGATGATCTAAGAAGTAAAGAACTGGAATGCTCCAATAATTTGTTACGAATTAAAGCGCTGGAACAGGTAAAATTTTAGCTCGAAGTAAACAGATTTGGAATTTATTGTGTAAGTCAAAGGTTTAAAATTTAGTTTGACTTTTTTCAGCAGCTCCAACATCACTCCAATTTTCCGCCATCAATCCGTGAATCCTCCTTTCGCATCCCGCATTTCTGCACTCCGTCGTCATCTAATACCGCATCAACAATGGCTGGAGCAGGTGAGGCCTTGTCTAGCACTTCAGAACTGTTTGCTATCCGAGGTGCTTATCTGGTAAATCCAGTAGCCAGCAGCACGGGAATAGCAGGAGCAACAAATGCAACAGTATCCGGTAATCCCAGCGAGATGCCGGACGAAATGAAAGTTTTCCGACAACCTGATGAATTGCCTTTGGAGTTAGCGCGGAATAGCAGCATCATAGATACGCCACTTGGTATTAAAAATGATGATGCAGCAAAAATATCAGCTAATTCATTAGGCGTTTCTTTCGCAAATCGCGAAAATTTTAATGGAACAGTGCTGGAAGAAGATCGTCAATCTGATAACGGTTACGGTACCACTTCGGAATGTGCTTCTGAGCTTGTTCGGAGTATACGTCGGGTACATAGTGATTCCGAAGTACCACTGAAAGTCATACAGACATAATCCATGCTATTTGTTTATATGTTTAATCACGACATTTTTCAGCTACCTCCCCTAGAAAAATCAATTAATACTGTTATCCTCTGAATTACTTTTTTCCAAGAGACATTGCTTTCTGATATTCACTTAAATTTAAGGAAAAAAATACCATTTTATATTATCTTTATAACAGTTTAATACAAAACTCTGAAGATATAAGTATGTGAAGTATTTAACACATTCAATATTTACGAGGCATTTTAATATTCTTATGAATCATAAATTGACGTCTTCCTTATTTTTCGGTGATTTAATACCATTTTATATTATTTGTTGTTTTAAATCTTTTCAGATAGAGAATATTGGCTTTATGTATTAAATTATTATAATAAAATCAACTGATTACTGTTGACAAATTGTAATATATTTCTCTTTACTGTCAGTAATCTTTATGACAGTTTGATTTGCACTCTACAAAGTCATGTAGTAATTCAAATAACAAATTTGATATGAGCTTTGGTCTGTATGAAATATTTGTATGGTAGTGTACCTTTCGAGATCAGGTGTTTTATACGCTCACGTGTCACGTGTTTTGAGAAGTCTGGTCGCCAATTTCATTGTTTAAACAGTTTGAATTCCATTTCGCCTCAGATAGTCGAAGAAATTTCTCGGATTATCCCGTCAGAATTCTTACTTTTCCGTCTGAATTCTTTTGTATTCGAATTAAAAAACAAATTAAATTTGCTAGGATTCTCATTTCAAAGACACTTTTATTACTATATCATGCTCTCGTTTTTTTTGTAATGCCGATTTCTGTGCTCATTACGGTAATTTTCCTTGTAAGTGTTGGTACTTAAATAATTTGAATTGTTTCATTTATTGGCTATTTGTTGCAAATGTACTTTTATGTCATATAGGAAATGAAAACAAAAAGATGATACAAGTTTAATTTCATCCAACCTCATTATATATAATTTAACAACCATCACAATTCGAGCTTATATTTCAGGTTTGAATTTTAGATTTCAAATATGAATATCTTAACACTAACAAGGAAGAAACTGTTTCATAATTTATGCAGAATTTCTTATACTCCGTTAACAACAATCGTTTTCACCATTTCTATGCTTGATTTCTTCGTGAAATACTCTTTGTCCAAGAGGTAATCATAGGCTCCCCTAACAATTATATAAGACCAAATAACGATTGTTGCTCCAAAAAACGACAATACGGCTAAATTGAATGGCCAGATTGGACCAAAATGATTCTCCAATTTGTGTATGCTGAAAACATGAATAAAATTGAACGAAGATGTTATTATTTGACTAAATCAAAAAAAGAACAACTTCCAGCAATTAAAACCGGTTTCGAGAAATGTCCCTTCAGAACATTCTCTATTGATGATGGGTCAACATTTCTCCTCCAAGAACTATATTTCTTTCAAAAGATATATTTACAAGAAATCTATGCAGTCCTTTTAAGATTTGTATTAGCATCATTTCAAAGAAGGAACCATCTGATGACTCATTCCTGCTTAATTGATGAGGAGAATGTTAATAGACCTTTGGGATGTAACATGAGTTAGGCTTATTTTTATGATTGTATTCCAAATGGAGTTCTATTCAACAGTTTACCTAATATAAACACCGAAGAGCCTATGAGTAGCCTGTAATCCCATAGACATGCTTGTTATCGAAGCGATTGCTGAAATGATGAGGATAGTAACTTCGACGTGCATAAATGCCATCACTGGCCATATATATTTCGGCTTTTCCGTCACAATACCATAGATCTGAAATTTTGCAGATAAAAAAATGAATCGTCTCTTTATTCTCCATTTATTTCAGATGTGATTTGTTTGAATCTTTAAGAATTGTCTCATGGTGTTTCAATATTTCCCATCCTTACCATTCATGTTCCACGTGGAAGTATCCTGATCGATTTTTGGAGATAAAAATAATTAGATAAGTGTTAATTACCAATAAGCAAATGAATCAACAAGAAAAAACAACCAAATAACCATGAGAAGTGTGGTGAGTGTGGCAAAAACAAGGAATATGACTAATGTCATCGATAACCATATACGAATATCCATCTTCTCAAGTTTCAAATCTGTAACTTCATGAATAGGAATGCCATTAGACTTCAGGACACTATAATAAAATAATATAATAACTTACTGAGGAATACAAATACAGCTATAATGAGTGACAAGATCTGAAAAACTCCGCAGAATATGGCAGCATTTCGATAATGCATCAAATAACAAAATGCTGGTGCGGAATAGAATTCATCATCTTTGTCATACACAAATAATTTCTTCTCCTTCTCCGACTTCTCATTGTCCACCACCACTTCTCGAGGTTGAACAACACTTCTCATTATAGGCATTCTGCTGGAAGCTTTCACAATTTCAACTAAGATTTCTTACAAATCTTATTGAGGAAATTCATCCAGATGGAAATATGCAACGAACCGTTAAGATTCTTCTAAGACAGCAAATTTTTTCATGGAATCACTTTTGATCAAGAACTTTTGAAATTGAAGCCTAGTACGGCATTCTTGCTTCATCTTCTTGACAAGATACTTAAGCTAAACTAATCTTAGGAATTATAAATGCGGTGAAAACCGGTATACCGGAGTGGAAAAAGGGATATTAATTACGGAAAATGTCCAATCAAAACGTAATCGAAATCAAAAAAAAAAGATGGATTTAATTCCTTGTTCAACTCTTTCTTCCTTCAAACTAAATAGAAAAGCCACGTTACAAAGATTTTGTTCTTATTGAAAGACAATTAAACAACTGAAACGTTTTGCAAGAACGGAAAAAACTTCCTGAAATTAAGGAAACATAGACAGGTTTAGAATTAAGGGAAAACTCACTGTGTGAGATAATTTCCGAAGGATTTACAAATATATGAACATTCGGGGATGTCTGTGTGTCTGTTATTTCGATAAATTAAATGGAAAGGAGATGGAATTCAGTTAAAATCTTTTTCTTTTTCTATAATGCTCCATTAGAGTTGGAAATGGGAAAAAAGAAGTGATAGTGATGGTTGTTGCGACCGTTGTCACCATTTCTTCTTCTGTTCACTGATGTTGTGTTATATCCACCACTACCGATGATGATCCAATTTCTTCATGTGGAATTATTAAGAAAGTTGTAAATGTTAAGATGGTTATGGGAAATAAATCGTTATACTGCAAAATTCATTCTGAGAACTTTCTCTTCAAACCATAAGATTCCTTACTTTCATTCAAATGTAATTTGAAAAAATTCTTTGAAAGTTCCGCGAAAGAAATACCGACAAAAACACAATAATACCACACTAAAACTGTGGTACAACATGTTTTCGTAAAGACACTGAAGCTGTAGAGCGGTCTGAATAACGTTTTGATCGAAGGGATTGCTGAGATTTTTTTTCGGAGATTCGCGGAGATTTTTTATATAAGCCGTGGAAGAGATTGCTGTTAGAAACGAGAGAGGATGGATAGTATTGGAACGTTTGTTGAGGATGGTTCCATTTTAAGGTACTTTTACACACATCGAACTTTCCATTTTTTTTTTCATTTCCAGTTTATTGCTCTTAGTTTTTCAATTTCCTGTGGTAGATATTGATGCTGGAAGGAAATACATTTTGAAAATAAGCATTTGCTAAATGAAATTTTGATTGTTGTTTCTAATCTTTACAAACTATTTCAAATTATTTAAATTAAAGAATTGTTATCAAAATATGAATGCGAATTAGTAATTTGTATTTCTGCATAGAAAACGAAAACTAAAGAAAAAGAAAAAGGTTACTGGAAATGCAAAAGAAGTACATGTGTGTAATAATGCTGCTAATAACGAGCAGTCTGCTGGGACGTTCAAAGGAACTACACAAGTCGAAATGAACGATACTGTGGGCGAGGTATTTTTATTCAATATTCAAAAACAAAATTTGACGGTTTCTAATTTTGCTGTTCCTCCTGTAAATCCTTTTTTTTTGAACAGCGAAGTAATTCTGACTAGTTACTGTTTGTCTACAAGATGGTCATTTTTTGAACATAGCTAGTATGCCCAGATGAGTCAGTATAATAATTTAGACATTTTTTCTCTCCTTGCTCCTTCCGTAAATGGAACAAAAAGGAACAATTCTTGGACTTGCCGCTGTTATAGTTCCCTCCCTGAATAATAAGAAGAGTCAAGAAATTGCTTTTCACTGTTAACCTTATGTTGGGAGTCATTGTTTTAAGTCCTTGCAAGAATCAGTATTTCGATCTTATCCTTTCTGTCACTCTCTCTTTCTTGAGCCACAGTGCCACAATTAGTCGAGCAGTTCCAGGAAAGTTGAAAATGTTTTGTTGCACATTGTAGAAAATTTTAGAAAACCAATTTGAATCAAAAGAGCAAACTGTCCGAAAGGACTATATTTTAATATTGCATGCATACAGGGAGAAATTTCCCGTTTACGATTTTTTTCAATCCATGAAGGCATATTTCAGGAGATTAAGATCTCAAAGCACAAAATACTGCCGAAAGATGAGATGCCTGAAGTAAAGGAACGAAAAAGTGGTATTATTTATTTCCAGACGTTACCACCAAACTTTACTGTCTCAAGAATGCGTAATGAAATGAGTAAATTTGGTGAAATTGGAAGGATATATTTGCAAGTAAATTTTTTATTGCTTTGAAAAAGCATTCAGTAATAACAGTAAAGCAAACCATCTAACAGGTCATGTATTGATGACCAGTAATAATTCCTTTGTAGAATTGGACTTCATTTTAACTTCATTTTTAACATTATTACTGTTACACCTTAGGGAGTTTAGGGAGTTTCGCTTTTGACATTTTTATCATAAACAATATAGGCTGAGAAACGGCGTGATGCAAAAGGTAAACGAAGAAAACGATTTGTGGAAGGTTGGGTTGAATTTAAGAAAAAAAGTCTAGCAAAGCGAGTAGCAGCGTCATTGAATAACACAGCGGTCGGTGGAAAACGGCGAAGTACTGCACGAGAATCCCTCTGGACAATGAAATATTTGAGCGGGTAAGATGCAGTTTTTCACTTAATTTTTTACTGCATTTCAGTTAGACTTTCAAACCACAGTTTTGTCTCGTTTCATTCTCTTCTTAAAATGGCATTTAAATTTTAATGTACCTATTTTTCCCCAACAGTAGAAAATCCATTTTCCAATACATATGCACTTTCACGGAACTTTCAAGGATCTGTCTGAAATGGACAAAGTTTAATTGCTGTTGTCTTATACAAACTTTTCATTACAGTAGTTCTGTGGGCATGTCACACGATGCCAGGGTATCTAGAATTGTCTTCCTAGCAGCAGCCAAGTGATCTTTCCAGATTTAAGTGGATACATTTGGTAGAACAATTAAATTTCGAGCATCGAATCGAACAACAACGAATGAGTGTTGAAATAGCTCAGGCAAAGCGACAAGCTTCATTTTTCTCTGATCAAGTGGAGAAAGGAGAGCAGCTGAGAAAACTGGAGGAGAAGGTGAGGAGGATTTTCGAAATATTCAGCTAAGTCACATGGTTTATTATTGACTTCTGTAGTCAATAAATCGTAATTATTTCTTTCCTCATTCGTACGTATCCTTGTACCGCGTATTTTCATTATAGGTTTTAAAGAAAGGTGGCATGTGGGATGAATTCCAGCGACAAGTGCAACAACGTTCAGTAATGAAAAAAAATAAGAGGCATAAACAGACCGACGATCAGCTATTACATATGATATTCACTGGATGACTTTATGTGATTCATTTCTGCAAGGATTATCGTTAGTGTTATACTTTTGGTTTTTTTTCTTTTTTTTTTATATAGGACAAAATATTGTTTATACGTGAAAAATGATGGCGCCATTTATATGGAGAAGTGTCATGTTTTTTTATCCCGAGCAGAATCTTTTTAGCTGAAGGGATCCCTTTCTTGATCTTGCAGCTGTCTTCCGAAAGGTATTTTTCGGTTTTCCCCTCAGCCAATTTTAGTTAAGGACTTTGAAGACCTCATAATTAAATTTCAAGTTTCATGCGAAATCCCCGCATCAATATAATCAAATATGCTCTTTTTTGGAGCAGGAAGTCCCTCACTGTTGATATTAAAACTCTTGTAGTTTTTCTGTCCGGTAAGATATTGCTATCAAATGTCACACTTATGACCATGTATCAATGTATAATATGGTCGCAATTGTATCATTGTATAATATGGTCGCAATTGTTGAAAAATATTGAGAAAAATGATATGTCCGAAATCTCATCGATTTTGAAGGCTATGGATGCTCCACAGCTTATCACCTGATAGTGCAATACCGATGAACCCACCATCAATTGAGGAAAGAACAGATGCAATATATATATATATATATATTTGCATAACGTGTAAAGATTAATTGCATTCTTCAGTGGTTTAAGTTTTGCATTTTTCTCCATCTTAACTTTCATCTCCGTGAGCTGGATTAGCATTCTTAATTAAATGAAATGCTTTTTTGACGAACGAAGTTCAAATTAATAATTCCTATTGCATTTTTCACCTGGTTTCGAATTATATCATAATGCCCATTATATCCAACAACTGAGTCAGAGAGTTTGATTAAAAGCGATATAAAGTGAGTCTTTGGTACCCTTTTCATACCGGACTATGGTAACAACGTGGTAACAACACTTATAATAATTCCGTACGTTAAAAAACGTGCGCATTATCGAATAACTAACTAGTAGTTATAAATTAAAACATGTCATGTGACAATTCCAGCAATTTAGTTATGTCGTTTTAAAGAATCAAAGAAGTGCTTTATTTAAGCGGCAATGCAATTTAAGACAGGAATGTCGTGAATCATTAGAAAGAAGCGACTACTTACGATGACCAGTGTGAATGGGTCCACTATTCAGATATATCTGTGCCACAGCATCGCTTTCATTAAGCATAAAATAGGCAGGAATAAACAATCACAGAAGTTTAGGAAGTTCAAGGAAACCGCAACGAATATTATCAGAAGAAAGTAATAAGCAAAGTGAGGGGAACGTGGAGACAAAGATAAGGAAGTAAGCCTAAATTTTTTACAAAATCCTGGCTTTTTTATGATAAATCATATTAAACATGATCAAAACTACTGAAACGAAAAATTTAGCATATGAATCTTTCTGTGCAGTCCCGTCTCCATCCAGCAAGTAGAAGGATAAAAAAGCAGGGAAATTAGTTAACGGTAACTTAATAAAAACGGAGGAGATATAGTTAATACGATGAGAAATAAGAAAAGGATATACCATCGAATTAAAACCCTTAAAAACAACCAGTTTGAACTGGATTTCCTTTTTTCCTGCTCTCCATTTTCACCATTTTAGCGTAATGCAACACTAATGGCCATTAAACTAAGCGTCAGAATAAAGTCCAGATTTGAACCAGCATAAAAATACGGTAATTTGGTAATTTACATAAATAAAATTAAGTCAATATGCCCTAGTAGCGGAAAAGTGTATTGCATAAACAAATCACAAAAAAAAGAAAAAGATGAAATTCAAATTTATGCTAATATGACATGCTAGGAACTTTTGTAGTCTTAGTATAAATTCCTTTTGCCACTTGCCTTCATCTGCATTCCATCCATCATACGCTTAAGATTCCAATTTTTCAAAAAATTTTTTGCTGAAACAAACCTGCCTAAAAAAGCAACATAAATCGAGAAAATTAATAACTGCAGGGTACCCAGCGTGGAAAACAATGCAAGTATGCGGAAAACGAACACAGAATCTATGGGAAATGGCTCATAAATATTTTTAAAAGATTACGCAAAAGAACAAACTGAAAATGCTTAAAAATTTTTAAAACATTTTCTTCCAGAGTTTCGATGAGATGAGACCGTTGGTTTCGCAATCTTTGAAGAGCAGAAAAAATTTGTTCGTTGTTGTAAAGCATACGTCGCGAAAAAAATATTGAAAGTTGGCCAAGAAACGAAAAAATTATTACTATAAAAAAGGGAATAGATGTAATGCTAACGGTAAATGCTAGGAGAGGTAATATGTACACCCATGAGCAATGTGTGCCTTAAAAAAGTAGGTTGAGAATACATTTTACGATTCTGCTGTATGAATTAAATACTGGTCAAAATTTTAGTTCTTTGGGCAATCATTAGTATGTTCCATCGGTGCAAACTCCCATTTCTGTCGGCATAAGGGACACAGTGGATAAGCCACTTTTTGTGATTTTGTCCACTTTACGATACAATGCATATGGAACGCATGACGGCATATACCGATGGCCTGTAACCGAAGTCATAACAAAAGAATCTACTGCAGACAATAAAAACTGAGCTTATGAATATGAGCCTTGCATAAACTGGGTTTAAATGACATCACCACATAATATAAACGTAAAGTAAGAAAAGCTCAAGATATCTATTTCATTCCTATTTGTCTATTTTTTACAGAAACATTATTTTGCTTAATCTGTTGCTAGTGAGACGAATAAAAAAAATAAATAAATTAGAGCCAGGATAATTAGTTTATATGCCAAAAAACATCTATAATAATAAGTCAATGAACTAATATACCAGCATACTTTAGTGTGCCCCTATTAAAGAAAAACATAATCATAACCACAAACTTAGTACACTTCAAAACCAATCTAAATGGTAAACAATGGTAAATTATTACTATACACATGCAAGCTGTTCCGCATTAAAAGCCTAACCCAAAACTGATAAGAAGTAAAGCAGTGATTAATTTTACGTCAAATTCTAATGTAAAGGATTTTCAGTTGCTCCCTAAATAAAATAACAAACTGAACCAACAATAGGACATTCGTCGCCAGGCGTCTGACACGTAACGCAACAAGAGTCAAACGTTTCACGACAAATTCCACACGGCCCCTCACCAATACTCCATCGCCACTTCGCCGCCACCTTCAAAAAATATTTTTTGAAAAGTATGAAATGTTACATAATCATTTGTCTGCAAGGAAAAATTCATGAAAATAGAAGATATACTAACATTCCATTTACGAATGGAGAGTTTGAGACGTGTCTGAGTTGGTAACTTGTAAATCGAAGGCTTTTTCTTACCACATAATAATGATTCATCTTCTTTGGTTGTTAAATCATTATGACGTACACTCTGGAAAAATCTAAATATTTTGTGGATAAAAATTGATGTTGAAAAATTTCAAGTGCTTGTGTCCTTAATACAGAGTAGTATTGCTATCTTTTAATAAAAATTTCAAAGATTCAAGAATTGTTTATTCCTAAATTAAATCAAGTTCAGAATAAAGTGATAGGTCGCTAGTAATAATTTCACCGAATTAAGATTTTGAGGGCAAGTAAAGATAAGGAAAGTTCTCATCTATTCTACTCCTCTATTTCTGCACGAAGAAAATATGCATTGGGAATAAACAATGATATCTGTCCTAGTTCAGTTTTGTAATGCAACAGTGTTTCGCAGATAATAAGGACAGACAGGTTCTTCTTCGAGGCACTGCGCGTTTTTGCCTTTCACTGCACTACTCTTTTCGCCAATCAATAAACATGACAGTTTTTCTCAACAGTATTAGCAGTTGTACGGATCAAATAAAAGTAGCTTCAAGTTTTTTCTTGCTAAATCTTCAAAATGGCTCAGGTCACAGCGATTTATAAGACAAAACTAGTGATGAAGGTATATCTAAAATGTCTCCGCAAAGATAAATAGTATCAGCTGACTGATAGCAAAATATCTCCCTTGAATATTAGTTTTCTCCCTTTTTTATATATAAATGTTTCAAACATTTTATATAAACCGATAAAAGAAGATTTGATGTCTTCTATCCCAAGCAATACTGCCCTATTTCATATCTTAATCGACACTTATTGTTATATTTAGTTAGTTTTCGTAAAAAAAGAGAAGTAAAACCAGTATATTGTCATCATCACTATTCATAATACAGTGAAAGAACTTACTTTGCCTTTTTTGTGATTTATTCTCATCAAACACTTCCCAACACGAATGTATACAAAATATTCTCTCAGCTTTTTGGAAAATGCTGGAAAACATCAACCGCTTTACTAATTTTTTCTCAAAAAAAAATCAAACCTTCATAAATTAGCGGAACATAATACTGAATCCAATGGTAATTATGATTCTCATTCTCATTGTACAGAAAACAGACAACAAGCAGCAAAAGGCCATGCCCTCATTATGCGTTACGGATAATTTTATTGCTTTCCTTCAAAATGTTGTCCCTTCTCCGCAAATACATCATTTCATCCCATCACCTCCACTATCTCGTTAATACTTGTAATCCCATCCTGGCCCATAGTGCTAATTGTTGCGTAATGGCTTAAGCACGCTGATTTCAGATCAACCAAATGGCAGCATACGACGTATTGTTGTACTACTTGCTTAACGTAAGCTCAGCATTTTATCTTTCGGCAGTTCATAATGCTTTATACTTTGTATTGGATTGGCATACTGCTGTGTTGCATTTTTGGCATTACTGTTTGACATTCTGCTTCCTATTGTTCTGCACAGTGATAGGAACGCAACGATGGAGTAAACCATTACCAATCACCCCGTTCATACTACCGATCACTACACAAATCATTATCGTTCTACTTTCAAATCAGATACATTCACAAATACGCTCGGGTAGCTTATACTTATTAAGGCATGTTTCCTATTATAAGTTTACAAAGTGGAGAGATTTAATTTATTCTTCCGTAAAGGTTCGGGATTATGAGAGTGAAATTCCGTTTGAAAGATTTCTGAAACTCTGTGATTTCTATAACTAACCGTAGGGAATATTCTGGAAAATTTAAACATTATGAAACAACTCTCTAGTACAACTTTCAAGAAAGTCATACTTTGCAAAACCTTCCTAGCATCGTACATTTTCAGACTATTCGACTTCTTAACAACACTTACCGTAGCCAAATTCTCCAACTGTCTACTTGGATCTGATAGCAATCCCCCCATCAGCTTACTGGTATGTTTTTATTTTTACAAAACGTTGTAGTTAATGGTCACAATCACTGACATTTGGATAGTGAAATGCAGAAAAGTGATCATAAATTACCCAACTAATCACCTCTCGATTAGTTTTAGTTAAGTAAACCCGACATAAATCGCAACTTGGTGCGATATGGAAAGATAACTACGAAAATGAAGTTACTTGTAGCAAAAGATTCGTAGTAATCTTATAAAAGATACACAGACACACAGATAACCAAACGAATAATGCCAACAGATAGTTCAACAGAAATTATCAATCCATTTGACTTCTGTCAGTATAACTCAGTTGTATGAAAACCTTGGAGTCCTCAGTCACTCGAATCCCCGAGGATTACAGCCCTGATTCCCCGCCAGTAAATCCTCACCACAACCATCATCTTGAAACATAAAAATGAATCAAGGCATAAATCAACCGAAAGAACTTGACTATAAACTTCGGGTTGCGAACGTAAACAATCTTCGCTGTACAGACCCATTAATACAACTGTTTGGACGACAATTGCTGTGGACTTGAACGAGGAAGTGAGGAGAGCTTGGAGAATTCATGGGATTTTGTAATACGACAGGGTTTCGAGTTTCGGGACATGACCGAGGAGTGATATGCTTTCGAGGAGAAGGAAAGGTGGTTAGGGAAAACAGGAATAAAGATCGTTACATCTCGAGAAAGAGGCGTAGGGAAAGTTAAAAACTAAAATAGGGTGGAAGTTGTGGTCTTATCATCCGTGATAAATTCGGATGTGATGTAGGAGCAATGGTTGATAAGGCACCTACAGTTCCGATGCCTTGGGTATTCTTCAAATGAGGTTAATCTTTGTAGGTCGATCCCTTTGTATTTTCAACTGATGTAAATATGTCAAGCGATGTATTCAGTTGGGTAATTATTCAGTTGTAATATAGCGCCTAAAGAGTACTGATCTTACAATCTTCTCAAAATTCCATTAAATAAAGCCACATGATCCCATTTTATCAAAGCTGGACAGAATCTTGGATCAGCTTTAAGGTCCCACATCTTACCCTTCATTCACACCGTATCACCAAATATAACTTGTACTTCGTGCTTCGAGCTTAGAATAACATCATATCTTCAGTGAAATGGGTAGGATATATTTAAGAATCTATTTTTTTTTACTACGTACAATTTCCAATAATTTAACATTTTAATCTTACAGAAAGTCATTTCTTAATTGCATAAATCCTAAAATAAAGTGAAATCATCTGGCTTAGAATTGGCTTGCCGTATTTCTGTGGCTCTCGTTAGACCTACAAACGTAAGTACGAATAGTAGAAAAAAATAGGTAAATTGATAGGACGCGTAGTAACAAGGAAAGAAAAAATCTGATTCAAGACATACTCTTTCAGATAGTTTTGTTCCTCTTCGGTCAGTAAAATTATTTAGTAATAAAATTCTCAGTCTATCTATTGAAAGTTACAGACAGTCACCGCTGCACTTATCTTCTTACTTACAGTTGCATTCATCCCACTGCTGCTTGCTGGAACAGTACTGTGATTCCCCGGTCTCCTCGTTCCATTTCTACACATTATTCGAAACCTTGATTATTCCGCGAATGTGAGGTGCTATAGATTACTTCGTAGCATAGATCCTTCAGTGTAATATTGTTCGTATACATTGGCCATGGATATGATTGATGAATAGTGCTTTATGCTTATTGAAGATACTGACTATTGTCAGAGATTGATGTACTCACAGATGACTCGTAGTAACTTTTTAAAAGTTTTTCAACTTTTTAAAAGCATCATTGAAGTCACTTCCAGTAAATATTTCCGCCAGTGTTACAGATAAATTTGAACATGAAAATATAATGAGGGTAATTAATAGCATATTAATGAAGGGGATAGATTCTGACTGACTAGTCGGAATAATGTTTGGTAAAGGATTCCGGTTATTCAGTTACGGAACCGTAAGGGTAGGAGAAGGAAGGATGTAAACGATATTGCATCATTTAACGCGACTGCTTAGGTAACCTGTCTATCGGTTTGTTTTTCAGATATAAAAATATACACATCGTTGTGAATTATGAAATTTCCTGAGCTTTTCCAAAGAATTCGGCATAACCATAATTAGGAAGTAAAACAAATGTATGTGCTCATTCAAATGGTACTTTGTAGGAATGAATGACAGAACTTTTGTTGATTAAGATGAGAAGTTAGTGAATGGCATGGATTTTATAATTCTTTTAATATCACCAATGATCTCGAAGTAATAATGAGATCTTTCTCGAGAATCTACTTTTCCTGGTTCAAAAAGTGAAAATTTTTAGATCCCGATTGCATTTGGTGGGTCATTGAGCTGGTTGGAATTTAGTCTGATCGAATATGAAGCCATTTCACTCATTCTTGCACCCATTTTAGCCATTTTACAAGGTCTTCAAGTGTTGCAAGTACAAAAGTGTTATCATACTCTTAATACCAGTCAACCAGAAACATTCATCCTCCACTTTACAGGTAAAGTGATAACAAAAAATTCAGTAAAGTGATAATACGAAAATTTAACTTCTAGGCAACAAGTGATGGTAGACGCATTGCTGCATTACAGCTAAGGATAGCACCAACTAACTGATGATCCTTTTACCTTAGGCTGTAAATTGCTTATCTGTACTATGTTAAGATCTGAAATGTTGAAATGATACTGTGATAATACATTGATCATCTGTACTGGAGACACTGCTGCACTAGTTTCTGTATGATGCACTTAATGAGTTGGAATCATAATTGGCCACGTCACTCGCCTTCTCTTTTTTAGTAGAAATTATTTCACGATTTATCAGATTTTAGGTTATTCCATCAAATTTCTTTTCCTGCAAAATTTACGTCTCATTTAGCAAAAAACTTGGCGTTTAAATACAGCACACTTCAATACTTTAATCATAAAATTCTGACTTTTTTTCAGGCTTGACAGCGCTTGGTCTATCAGTTCCAGCATTTCACAGCTGGATCAATTCGACGATCTCAGCTGATGCTTCATGGGAATCCATCGATTACGTAAGACTATTTCTGAACGATTTCTTGATTGATCAGACCTTAAAAGAAGTTAATTTTCCTGTCGTTTATTATTTGCTTATGAGTTTCTCTTTTTCAGTTATTAATTGGCATATCCATAATGTTCATGCCTTATTATAAATACTCCGAAATGTGGCTGCAGCTTAATCTAACAGCTTATGATTTTATGGTTTTGGAACAAGCCAAATTTTGGGCTGCAAGTATCGGGCAGTGGTTCGTGCAAAATATGGCGCACGCAACGGTGTTTGCTCTTACTGGGAAAATTGTGATGCTGGGCGCTTTGGTGCGATATTTCACTGAAATTAAACGTCTGCAAAGGACTGATTACAATGATCTTTCACCAGCACTATTTAATTAATAACTTATATACATTTATGCCTTTTCGACTTTTATAAATTTCATCCGCAAATGTCAATTGTATTTACGGTTCGACTTTGGTCTTCGAACCAAATTTTTCCACCGTAGCCCAGGCATATAATTGTATATAACATTGTTATGTCTCTATGAAAGTGTCGTAGAACAATTCCGTTAAGTCAAATTTCAAAAGTTCTAGACGGATAGTATTAAAAATTTGATCAAAACAAGCTTTGCAGAATCACTCTTCTATTCCCTCATTACTGGCTTAATATGACAATTAAATCGAAAATATTTGTTTTTCGAAAATGGCAAAATTTATTCAAGAAATTGGACTTCGTTCTTCCAAAGTCGTAATCTAATCATGTGAACTTTCTTAATTTCATCCTGTACTTCCAGGACAATTTCTAGCTCAGCTTTATAAGAAGTGAATTTCCTAAAATGAGTAAATTTTAAAAATTTTTGGAGATTTTGAGTGCTACTGATTGTAAAAGTTTGATTTTATCGATACTTTAAATCTCCTAGTGAGAGCGATGGTCGTGTACCAATAAGAACGACACGTCATAATTGATATTTTATGGTTATGCAATCGAATTCCCTTATCTTTACCTTATTTCGCCGGACATTTCATTCATTCCATCTAGAATCATTTTTCTCTTATAATTTATCCTTTAATTTCACATCGCATTTGCTTTTTTTTCCTATTTTCGCGTAACTGATTAAGTAATAATTATCTAAGAATGATAAATTTGAAGTGTAAGAAATGATTTATAACGGATAATTTAAATTGGTGCTGTTCAATTGGGAAGAATGACGTGGGATTTCAATTAAAGACGTTTACTCCGAGAAGGAAGTTATTAAAAATTAGAATTGGAAGTAATACCAAATTTTTGCGAGCTGCCTGTTAAATGATTTCAAATTGAAGTAGCATCACCCGAGCTAACTAAAAAATATTTTCTTCATTTCACAACTCCGCTAACCTGCCCTCTGCGCCTTAACACGAACAGTTGGGCTTTGAGCTGATACAAAGTTTGAAGGAGAAGAAGTGTAATGTTGAATGTGGATGTTGTGTATCTGCAGTACATGGTTCATATGCATGTTGATATTGATATTGAAAGGAGGAAGGGCTTCGGTTAGCTTCCACGGGTAGATATCCAAAAAAAAGATTAGCCAACACAGTTGTTTCTGGTAGATGGTGGTGGATTCGAAGAAGCACGGCATCTAGTGAGGTATAGCCTGAGTTCGAGCCGAGCTATTAGGACATTAGCACAGACCGTGAATGTGAAATTGTGGGCGAGAATCAATGGGAAGCATCTATTATTGGGTTTGAATACCTTCAGGGCAAATTTTAAATACGCACAGATGGAGAAAGAACAAACACAGATTAACAGACACACACATACATACACATACACCAACGCTAAAGTGCTATACTTCGGATACGATAAGGCTTCTTAAATTTTCTGCATACACTTCGAGTTACGACGGAGTTGAAAGAGAATGATATCAATCGTTCAGGATTTCTATCTGTGCATCCACTCATCCATCAGTATCAGCATGTCTGTCTCTCTGTATGACCCTCAAATTGGCTATCTATCTATCAGTTGGTCTAGGTGATTCTCTGGATCTTAAGTCAAATATGCTAGCTGATAGTAATGGCAACACAACAGCAACTGTGGTAGCAGTAGTAGAAATGTTAGTGTGAAAGTTGGAGCTGCACGAACATCGGGAAGTTTTATAATGTGTCTCTGGTCGACATTCTTCAGTTATTATTAAGGATGTCCTCCTTTTCCACATCGTTATCATTCCAACATTCTTCATTTCTTACCTGTACAAACTCATAAAAGCATCATCCGTAGTGGTATTTTCTCTCATTTCATAAAGGAAAAGGTGACTGGATCAGAAATGTAGCAGATTAAAGGTGTTAAGTCCATTTTAAAGTCAACTTGTCATTTACATAAACTATTAAGTGATTAGATCAGGATCCCGACATCTCACCGCTCATCTCTCAGGCTGGAAGATAAGTATTACTATGAACTATATATATCATCGTTTAGCCTATGATTCCTTGTAGAAATGAATTATTTTTCAACTATCAAAGCACTTCCTTAACTTCGTCCATCAGTTATTGCTAAATTTTTTAACATCATCTTCATAACAAAAATATTATTTCTCTGTGAATCATTTCATCAACAACGATAGCAAAACAGCTATATTTCTTAATGGTATACATATTGTGGACGATAACGCTAACCATTTCATATACAATTAAATTCTGCTAAAATTTTTTGCAACTAAAGTTAAATTTATCGAAATTCAAGCTTTCAAAATCTTAATATTTGCATAATTTGTTGGTAGGCCATATTTTTTGCATCATTTCTAATAATTAGCTGTAATTAGTGGATCAGACAGTATGGCCACTTTCGAAAATGGTATGCGCTGATGTTTAATAGTTATCGAAGGGAAAGCATTAAAGGCATTCTAGTTTCATCCATTGCAGCTAATTTAACAGTTTTTTTGTTCAAAATTCAAATTTGCTTCAATCTGTACTGTCCACTCTCCTACTCGGTCAGCAGTTCTCCCTCATTTATTAATTTATTTGTCCATTTGTTTATTGATATATTTATCAAATCATTGTGCAAACACTATTCAATAATGTAAGCATTTTCAATTATTCTTGACAAAATGCAGAGACAGTTTTTTCAATAGACAGTTTTCCATCGCATTTATGAAAATTTTATAATTCAGGTGAAAACTAACTTCAATTTTCTCCCCGAACTTCTTTTTGTGTCTTTTTTTGGCCTGTGAGTATTTATTTGAAAGTGTTTAATACTAGACAAAAACTTTTCTTTTTCTTTACATTTCTTAACCATTCATTTGACACCATATTATAATATGTTTATTTATTGACAAATATATTATAATTTTCTATAAAATTTTTGTACATATTTATAAATAGTAGCAATTAACGAATAGTATTATTAGGTAAATGAAATTTATTCCGAGATGACATCTACGAAATGCTTTTGTAGTAAATTCAGCATTATATTATTTTCCTCCAAAAATGAATACTTTAACATTGTAACTTGCTCAAACCTTACTATTAATTCAAATTTATCGTCCAAGCGATTAAAATTAAAACATTCTTTACATTAAGCCGAAACGGATTTTTGATTGAAAATTCATTTAAACAATCAATTTCTTCATCAGTCTTTTACATAAAAGTAAACGAACAGTTGTGCTATTTTAATTTTCCAAAAGATTTTCGGAATTAATGGCTTAAAGGAGTGCAACTAAATAAAACAGAACTTCGATCTCATCTCTTTATTCAATCTTTAATGCACAACTCATGCAAGGTTTTTCACATCTTTCGACGAATATTTCTTTTATGCGATGAATTAGTTTTTAATTGCTGAGTATAGGTTAGAGAAAAAAGTTAATTTTAAATGAATCAAAAATAGGCGCAATATCTAAAACACAGTATTGTTTTAACTTCCTGAAAAGTTGTGTTAATCGATGCCTGTTTAGTTTTCACGTTTGATCTTTAATTTCCTCATTACTTAACAACGCTTTTGTCATTTATTTCATTTTAATTTCAACTTGCACTGTACGGTTCCACTTTGTAGAAGTATGTAATATGAGTTTTTTATGCCCAAAAAGTGTGTTCAAGTTAGTTCGGTTGCCAGCCAAGTTTGTTTAACAGTGTTTCTCATCTCTATTTCAAACAAATCTTACTTATCCAATCTTCTTTTCCTTCTTCAAGTTGATTGACTTTCCTGATTGCTGTTCAGTCTTATTCCTTCTTTTTTCTACCAACATAGCCGTAAAGCTAATAACAAATTTTCAGCACACCTCTTCTATTATACTATTCATCATCCATTCTGAAGTCTTTTTCGCAAGAAAAATGATGATTATCACTTGAGGATTTTAACAGATGTTTTCGACTAAACCCTTTCTCGCCCACTTGTATATTACTTCATTTTTGCAAACTCAAGACTATTTCAACTGAATCCATTGATAGCAATCGGTTATGTCGGCTTGATGCTATGTCAGTATTATTGCAGTTTATCAGGCCTCGCAGAAAGATGTCGCTAAATGCAACCTGTTTTGAGAAATTCCCGTTGTTTCAATGGACACAATCTTCGGTTGCATACATATTTTGTTTGCTGAATAGGCATTTATCATACAACCAAATGTTCTATCATTATTGCATATCATTATCACCTTATCATCTTTTGATTTGTTTTAGCCGTAAACAGTCAGCTCAAGAAAAAATCTTTATGACTGCAATTTTTTTCAAAATCAGTAATGAATTTTCTTTTGCGCGGTACATAAAAACAAGTTTTTGTTACTTTAAACAAATTAATCTATCTTACTACTTTCATTTAACTTTTACACAGTAAAGGACAATTCCTAGGATTAATTACAATTAAGCAAATTGTGGTTGACGGAAAATGACATAGTAGAATTCTAAATGATGAGTCACTTATCAATTCAGTTTGAGTTCTTCCTCCAAGTAAAATCTAAACGGAAATGTTGTATGCAATTTTGCATATATATAATATATTATAATATATATCTTTTAGGTGTACAACAAAATAAGTAGGGAATAATTTGAAAAGAAATAATAACCACAACTGATTGAAAATAAAAAATATATCTGGCGTTTATTGTAATTAATTTTTTCCATTGATTAATTAGATATTCAGAAGCAGTAAGCATAGGAATCCTTGAAATTCACCTTTACAAATTGCTTAGGTACACTTGCTGAAAATGGTACATTTATTTGATCAATTCAAGGAATGGTGGCGTTGTTTGCTATTCTTTCTAAATAGATCGTTTCCCAAATTTAAAAGCTTCCAAACGTTGCAAAAAAAGGAAAATCTCGAGAAATAACTTCTTTCCAACAATTTCGAAATTGTTTTATCGTCTATTCTTTTATTTTCTCATTGCAAAAATGGGAAGAGAGACATTGAGCAGAAAATAAGTAAAAAGAGATGAGAAAAAAACAAAAGGGAATACAATCGAAATCCAAATTATTTTGAAAATTGAATTACTTCATTTAATGATGACTTCATTTTGTTAACTGTTAGTGTTGTAGAATCTCTGATAAGAGTAGACACAAGTAAATTTTGAGGAAAACTAAGTAAAAGGAAAGTTTGAAAATTTACTTGATGTGTATTTATTGAGACACTGCATAAAGTTTCCCCAGATCAAAAGAGTCCAAAAATTTAAGCATATAGCGCCTTTTCAATCCCAGCTTACTATGCCATTGCTAAACCTTTTTGTTTAATTTACCTGGTGACTAAGTTTCCGATGGTTGAACTCTCCAAAGTACAGAAAGATACGGTGAATGTAAACAAGGATTGTATTGTCTGTTTGGTACCATATCATTAGAACAAAAAGATCGAATCTGAAAAGGGGTTGTAGAGTGAAAGAAGTACTTCAGAATTGCAGGTTGCATTTAAATACACAAATAAATTCATTCACATTAATTCCCGGTAACTTTATCTTCTTTAAAAACAAATTTTAATCAAATGAATTAACTCTGGTCATTATAGATGGTCCTGAACGCAGGTTTTCAAGCAAATTGTTAAAATTTCATGTGTAAAATGTATTATTTGATGTTTTCTGTCGTACTAACATAAATTTCCGTGATACATGAACAGTTTATTATTCAGATTACAGGTGATATATTCATAACCAATAGAATGCCTGCCCCAGTTGCTCCGGAGCAAGCTCAAGGTTGGTTTAATTAAAACTTTAATAAGTATTCGAGCTATTTGAAATGATACGGCAATGGAATGCAAGGCAAATTGTAATATTTTCAACTGAAATATATTTAAATAATCTGAATGCTCCATATAATGAGGTAGACTTGCTAGCCACTATATGCAACCGATCAAGGTAGCACAAAAAAAAAAACTAGATGACAACATGAATTAGCCCTTGCTTCTTCAAGCATTCCTATCTTTCTAACATTTCTTCATGACATCTGGACAATTTGCTCCTTATATCCTTATCAGAAATGGAATGGATATAGGAGGAAGCAAGTTCTTTTTCCATCTCATTGCACTAAACAAACTTTATTTGACAAACTTCCGAAACATATATAAATTCAATTTCTATCATTGGATTACGCTTAATTTCACATCGAAATTAACTTTTCTAAATATTTAGTGGTGTAAATTTACAACAAAGTTTTCTCAACAGGTAATTCGATATGCATTCTTGTCTATAAAACTTTCATTTAATATATTTGTTCCTTTACACATTTGTTTATAAATTATTAAACTTTATCACTTTTTATTTGATAATCACTCTGGAAAACCAAACATTCATTTTCTAATTCTTTTTGCTTAAATTTATTGCAAACGATTACTCAAAAAGGATATGATGACAATTAAAAGCATTGACATTACGGCAACCATATGTGGTTAATTGTAAAAAAAAAAAAAAAAAAAGGATTTCCGATTCATGTTTTAAAGTTTCCAGAATTTTCTGTGTATAATTTTTAAATTGCTGCAAGTTAACGTATTCAAGAAAATCTGCCTCTCTGTTAACAAAAGAATTTAAAATTCTCATTGTTCTTGTATAAAAAGATTTTTAGAGAAAGAAATTTTTAACAAAAGAATGAGTAATACTTCCGACGTTGTTCCTTTCGAAAAGGAATGGATTTTTGACAGATCATAAAAATTTGGGGAC